CGTACCAGCCACCTGCGTCCTCCCCCGCCTTCGATATCCTTGACTGTCTTGACACCGGGTCCAGGTGGGGGGTGGGGAAGAGAGAGCGCGGTAGATGCTGAGTAAGTCTGTTATCACTATAAACTAATTCACGTGCAAGTCACCGTGTCTGTTGCATCTCAGTGTGTAGCACACGGTGGACATCGTTGAAGTCGACGGTCGAACTGTCGGTGATATAAGAGAAGGAGGAGAAGAAGAAGAAGAAGAAGAAGAAGAAGAAGAAGAAGAAGAAGAAGAAGAAGAAGAAGAAGAAGAAGAAGAAGAAGAAGAAGAAGAATGTGCTCCAAACAGTTAACGACGGTCACAACCAGGGCGCCCGACGACGATAACCGTCGTCCTGTACTGACTTGTGTATGATTTGGTTTATACCGAGGGCGATTTCTCAAATCTACCTCATCGTTTCACTCAAAACGTACCCCGTTCCAATGCCAAGACACGATCAGGACTACTAGAGATGGGTGGAGTGGCTGAAGTGGCTGATCCAGCATAACGAATGTCCACGCGAGTCACACACGTGGTTCTTGCATGGATAGGAACCACATGTCAACGTCTCGATGCCAGCACCATGACAGCTGCATAAAGGTCATATTACGGAGCCATTTCGTCCTGACCATTAGTCGGGAGGCGGACCGAGTTATTTTGTCAGAAGAAAACTTTTCAGCGCCCTTTAAAGGCGCTTCAAATTTATTATGGTTAGGAAGTAATTACTGGATTGACGCCGCTCTCCGTCCTCTCCCATATTTTGCCACCGACAAATCCCAGCCAAGCCGACCGCAAGCGGGATTGGACACGATGACCGACGTGGTGAGAAAAGTCCCACCTGCGAGCGCCCCATATTTGCTGGTCTCATCGTTTATTTCAGGCTCTGGATGGGGAGAGCAGTCGACGTGGACCTGGTTGGCGGGGCTTCCGTGTCCTGTACAGTGTTCAAACTAAACGGGAAAGTGGTTTTCCCAGAACAAAACCACTTGGTAGTTTATGCGGTGCGTGACTGCAAACTAGCCTTTGCAGGGTGCATCAGGTGTTCACACAGACGCTAGTGTGCAATCTATGATGACAATAAATCCGTCAACGAGTCGCGTCGGCGCCAAAATTATTATTTGTGGGATGATTGCCAGGGTACCATCTCCGACTCTCGGTCTTTGTTTCTCTTCACCTGCGCCAGTTAGTGTGCGCAGAGATGGCAACATTAGTGGTAAGTAGTTCGCACGCCGGACCTCGAAAATATAAACATGCGCACGCCCGTTGACGCCTTTAGCACGACTAAATGGTTGCCTATAAATGTCACTGTTTGCACTTTAATTATATTGTTACGTGATTTTTGAATTTAACAAGTCAACCTACTGGAAATATGGGATGAGCAAACCGTTTCAGTTAGCGAAAGGCCGATAAACATATTATCTCCTTCGAATTTTTTCTAACCGAACCTTCAAACTTATCCGC